TTCAGTTTCTCAAGCTGTGTCACGCACATGTTGTCCAGTGTGTAGCAGAATATAGTCGATCTCTGAGACAGTGATATTAGGTGTGCCAATACATGATATGTCACGGCATCAATACTCATCAATACTTATATTGCTTGTATAAACAGTCAGTTATCTATCATGTATTTACCTTATTCCTTTTGCTCTCATACTGACATTTTGTTTGTAATTATGACGTTTACTTATATTTACTAATTGTATGTTCATTTAATCTCTTTTACTGTTGAATAATAGGGTTATTCACCTCTGGTGTAAATTTTTAGGGTTATTCGTCCTTTTTGCAATTAAATGAAAATTAACTAATTTATTCCATGTCACGTGATAACGTGTTACAATGTACCCAATAGAATTGTTTATAATATATGTAAGGTATAATAATACATAAAAGATTCCCCGATTATTTATTTGATACCAGTTTCATATTCTTCGAAAAGATTGAACCAGTCTAAGGATCTAGTCATGAACATTGTTTGATCATTCAAGCATGGCATCATTTGATGACAGTCAGACTTAGACTTACGTTTATAGACAGTCGTGAAAAAGCTTTTTTATATAAAAAAAAATCAAAACACAAGAAAAGTTCAAATATCTCACGAGTGCTAGGTCTTATTTGAATTCCCAATATAGAGCAAAAGACTTAAATTAGACAAGACATAACATACACACCAGATGACATTTCAATATTTCAATCAAAATTAAGACACTCTAAATTTAAGAGACTATTAAGGTCGAAGAGAAAGGTTTTATATTCAAAGCATTCAACGAAGAGTTTAATTGAATTTCTGACATCAGTTTTAAGGAGCATCCTTTTATAAGACTTTAATTAAGATTTCACTGTGTAGAAACTTCAAGTTAGAAAACGACATAACTGTTGTATCTCGATAGAATATACGAGTTGGCATTGTTTGGGATACTGTTCGCTTTTACTTGTTTTCAAGTGAAATAAATATATACAAAAAGTACAAAACAAATATGCAATAGTAAACTGCCATATATTCATTATCATTTAGTAATAATAGTATTACAACTTGTTCATACAAATACACAAACACACACACACACACATGTTTATAATTCCTTCTGCTCATCCATATGATTATGTTCGTCTACAGTGGTACCAGAAATGAAGCTGAAAACAAGTACATCAAAAGGGAAAGTAATACATGTGCAAAATTCAAACCAAAACAACATGAATGTGCTATATCAAAAACAAATTCTATCCATTTTTCACTTTTTAATTACAGCTAAGTCAATAGACGATTTGGGCGATTGACTTCATTATTAGGTGAAGATATATGTAATTTGTCTGTAATAGCTACACTGAAAATAGTAGAGGTTGAGTTATTGAGAAAATTACAGATTTAACGGGAAAACCACAATCTGCAAGGAGAAGGAATCACGGACTGTCAGTGCTATACAACATCAATCATATTTGTTTTACCACTTCCCAGGTAAACACATCTTCCTTCTACATAAGAACCCACAAGGAGCAGAGTATGCTTTTAACCATGACATATATACCTACACAGGAAGCATCCAAGGCTGCACTATACTAGTATACTCATTGTATAACTTCAAGAGTCAAGAGAGGTGTGTTTCCATGTGGCTGAATATTCAGCTTGAAGGGGATAATAAAAAAGTAAGAAATAGAAACACCCCAATAACGTTATTGCGACATCTCATTTTGTATGCCATTTAATAATAGTTTTCGTGCTTGGCGCACATACTTGCAGTTGACAACCAGAATATGTTACTTTCACCATGGTTCATTAGCCTGTATGAAATGCATTAATTATGGGTACAGTCAGTCCTATGTCCTGTGTTGAGAAGATGTCTGACCGTCATATATTCTCTTTATACGTAAAAGACCTCTCGCAGTACCTCTTTGATGAAAGGAGTCTGTATTGACTTCATAAATATGATGTCATAGTCGGTCTGATTCGGAAATATACCCAACTCTCTGCAGCTAAAATAATTGTTCTGAAGGAATTTCATGATTGGTTGCAAGGCTTTGATAGAATAGAATATTCAAGATTTACATCTTTATATTTTTCAATGTTACTGGTGTTTGTGTTTGGGGGTTTTGTCGATGATTGGTATTAGAAATGAAACTTTCGCAAAAATGAGGGATTTGATGCTCCTGCATATCCATGTACATACCAGAACCGTTTCCAAAAAATCCTAAATATTTATTTCAATTGTATCATATCGTTATGTGATGATTTATCTGAATAAATATTGTTCAAATTAACCGTTTGCAAAGTGTATGTACTGTACATTTACCAAGTCAAAATCACCAATGTTTAAATGATATTCATTTAAAGAGATTTTCTCACGAAAGTGTACAATGTATAATGACATTATGTTTCTCTGTTTCACCTTGAAGTATGACTCTTTTGAAATGTACATGCGCCCACAACATAAAGTAAGATTTTAATTGTCTCCGAGCAGAAAAACATAGAAAGAAATGACAGTATTGCACAACTGTCCATTACAGGTCATAAAACAAATCATCAGGTGCGACACTTTGACATTTTTTGCAAATTGGCCGCCGTAATTTCCATGGCTTACGATATCTAATAAACAAACTATAAAACGTTGCCGTAAACTGGAGCAATTACTTCAAATAAACGATTAGAGCCATAATGAAATTGCATACGGTCTCTGAACTTCATCACATTCGAAGAAAACTCAATTAGATTCCTGTAAAATTCGCCTTAATGTTCAAATTTCCTCTGGTTCTGAGCTCTTATTACCTTATAAACTCATCGTCAGTGGAATTAACAATCGCAAGAGCGGAAAATAACTGACATTATTTAACTACAGCTACATTGTATCATGGCTGAGAGAAATCAGATATCTGTAATCCAGAAAAGTCTTAGAACATATGTCAATGTAACGGTATAAAAATAAAGTAAAAGGCGTTTTCTCAATTAACAAAACTGTCATGATTATAAGTATCATGACTTTCTGAATTAATTTTTAGAGGAGTTGATATGTGAATAAGATACATTCAGGACACAGCAACACAACAGTATGTGTACACCAACACTAGGCATTATACACGATGCTGGGCGGTTATTGCATTTGTCCTGATAGTAAGTGTTTTACGCTATGTTAATTGAACGAACGAAATTACCGGACAAGCGCATTTATCGGAATATATGACATTAATACCAATTCCCGAAAAAGAAGATAACACGCGAGACATTAGCAACCAATGCAAAGACTCCTGGTATGTTGAACAGACATATGACATGATTTTCTAACCTGCATTATGTATATTGTACATGTAAATGATCTATCAATTTCTTAGAACAACAACTATAATTAAAGAAAATCATTACTTTCATCTTACCATATAATTAATAACGACAATTGACACAGCTTAAAATTAATGCAGCTAAAAATGAAAAACTTACCAAGGGACAATATTAAACAGAATGAATGATAAAAATATAGACTTGTACATTTTTTTCCTTTGTCGATACTCATGTGTATAATGGTATACATACCAGAAATCGAACGAAGAGCATACCGAGCTCTGTATATTGCATACAAAAATGTTCTAAAAAGTCAAAACAATATAAAGAATATCTTTTCACATTGAGTACTCTTTCTAGTGTACGCGCATATCATTTCAAATTCATAGGTTATATTACTCGGATAAGTGTAGTATATGTTACAGTAGTTTAGATATAGTTAGCGAAAAATAAAAACAACACTGTATACATTTCATGCGTCCGAAGCGCTTTTCTGGATTTACCTTTACCAGGAACGCGCAGAGGCAAATATTTGAAAGCCAGGGATGTATAAGAATCGAAGTTAACTATGTGTTCGATCTAAAGTACGTTTTATAAGGCTGGATGTTCATTTGTCTAGTAACTTACTAAACATGGAATACCATGCCTGCCGTATTAAGATGTTGAACCATTGTATCTCTTTTCTGGCTTTTATGTGTAAGTATAATAAAAGTATAATAAATGTTTACAAGGGAGTTGTTAGGGTATGCACTATATCATTTGGCTTAAAAAATACACCAACAAAATAAATCCTCTCAATAGTTAGTTTATTGTCACGATTATTAGTAAGTCGAATGAACTCTGTGCTAATGCAACACGCTCCTGTCGTTCTTTCATTTTTCGTGAATATAATGGTTTCTGCATTCTCATCACTGATCTTTCGATCATTTTTGGTGCGTTCGAAATTCTTATAGACAGAATTTTTAGGGTTTCAAAAACCACTTATCCTTATTTTTATATATGAACTATAAAAAGAAAAACATTTAACTAAGTTAACGCTTGCTCCAATTTACGATCACTGAGAGTGATGTTTTACTGATGACGAAGTGAAAAGACCTCAATCAACATTTAAAAATCCATTTTTCCTTTCAAACGATGTTGCACTATGTTAAACTTAGTTTTTACAATTTATTATTGTTTTTATTGATTGCTGTTGTAAAGTAAACAATAACAATAAACCTGCATATACTAAATCATGTCAAAGTGCCAATTTAGGAAATTATCTGACGCGATATAGTTCCATACTGGGAAGCACTTAATGGACGTGGATCAATTGCGTGTATTAGAGCATTATAACAGATAAGAAACAAAGCATATTATCGTTATACGATGTAAGAACTTGTTCCAATTAAACCGTTATAGATTACAACTGTCACAGAATTACTCCTGTCTTTCAATCAATATTTAATTGTTTCTCTGTGTTGATGGGCCTTTTTCATTTATAGAGCACCACTGTTTGAACTATACAGGTTTAATTGCATCTACATGCGACTTGGATACTGTAACATCGATATCTAACTAAGATCTCATCATTTCATTTAAAATCTTGAACGGTTATTTGTCGACATGAAACTAGCTTTTCTATTTGTCTAATGCTGAACAGCGCATCTTCATGTGACTCCGCCCCATACTTAAAATGTTGAACGGGAAAAGACGAGACAAAATTCACTTATGGATATTGATGATATACAGTGATTCAATAAAACATCAACAATTCATCTATCAAATATGATTTTTGACGCATGAGGAAGTCCAAGATTGATACTAAGAAAGCGTACTTAAAAGCTCAGAAGTATCAAACATCCCAAATGAACGGACTTAAACAGCGCTATAACATACCATCATGTCTTGGATGGTTTTATTTGCCTTGATACTTCCAAAATCTTTTGGTAAGTAATTTTCTCATCTTTTAACTCTGATTGGAAATTTTGATACATTTCCTTTCCAACACTATCGTTTTTGTCTGAAAAACTATTGAATTAGAAATGTTTGGTTATAGTTAAATCGTGTTATTCTTTTGTTTAATTTCAAATTTGGGAAATTGTTTATTTATTGCTTCATACGTCAAGAAAGTACTCTTTTATCCTAATCAGTACTATGAATAGCTTACTATGTTATGAGAATTGAAATATATTTCTTTTTCATAAATGCCCTCTCCCTTGATACATAAAAGTGTAATAACATAACCATTTAAATGATAAACAAGATTGATTGAGGAAGTAAGTCTTGAACGAGCCTACATCAGTACATGCATATATGTACTAATGTGTATGTTCACTGTGTATTTCAATAAAAAGTCTAAAGTTGATTATCCACAAAAGACGGGACTAGAAAATACATTTCTACACATGATTGTATGTTCTGTATGATAAGTCCAATAATCTACGACTCTTAATTTATTCGCCCAAATTGAAAAAAAGATGAGTTTTCAATTTCGGATTTGGTTTTTGGATTCCACTTTTTGTTTGACTTTTATTTAAACAACTCTGTTCTTACATTTAATGTATCTGATTTTTTACTTTATCTGCAGTATTCAAATCTCAGCTGTGGAAAGTTGTGCTATTGCACAATATTCCTTTTTTTCAAAATTATATCCAGTCTTCAACTTTTTTGTTCAAATCAGTGGTCATCCTGTTGGTAGCTGGGCTGCGCAGGCTTTTTATTTTCTGTTTTACTAATACACTTTATGGTCTTGAAAGGCAAACGGGACGATTTTATTTAGCACGTACTTGTTGTTAAACTCTACCCTATTTTGTACCGAGTACTAATTCAGACTAAGACTATCTTGACCATGTGTTGTTCGTTGTTGCATGTCTTTGTCTTTATGTCTATTTTTAGGAGTCGGACGTAGATGGTTGGTTTGGTCTGTCGTCAAATTAAAAAAACGTTCTTGGTTATTTTTGTTAGTTTTTTAAGAATCATTCATTATTGATGCAATACTTGAAAGGACATCATGGAGTATCATGTTTTCTTCATCTTTGTAATGTTTGAACATATTTAAACATATCTGCACCAGACGAGGATGCTGCAACGTAAATATCAAACCAAGATTATATATAGGTTTTTGTGTTTTAACTGCTGATGTGTTAATTCAGGGCCTTCCCTGCTTTTTTAAATAAGATTCAGTCTTGTGTGAAAACCATCTCTTCGTATTTTTTTAAATTGTTTCAGTAAAGTGTTCAGAAAAATAGAAAAAAAACAATTACTAGTATTGCAAAGTAAAGTTTGAAACTAACGTTTATTACAGTTTTCCTGTTTTGTGTTTACAATGATAATCAGTTCGGCAGTAAACCGGTACCTCTGATTTAAGAAGTCAGTCATATTACAATATTATTAACATTGTTATAGAAAATTTAAAGTGAAATGATTTGTGTATCTGTAAGGTGGGTTTTATTGGGTTTCATTATGCAAAGATTCTCTTCTCTAATCTTTCATGATACTATCTCCGGAGTTTTATTGAGGTATTCTATTTTGCTTTGTGATGATTTAGTTTGCACTACCTGACGTCTACAGTTTCACTTTGATTTAATATTTACCAAGCAATCCTTGCATGTCATTGGTCTATCTGGGAATATCACGCTTTTAATGAAATACCTTTGTTCTTATTATAAAACGGGGAAATATGACTTTTTGATATGCCTGCTTCTAATAAAATGTTTAAAGAATATATATAGCTACTATGAAATCCTCAAGAAATCCTTCTTTCACAATATGAATTAAGGAGAAGTGAGGTATTCATCAAGAGACAGCAACCTATTGACAAAAAACCAAAAGATATTTACATAGGGTGCTTATTAATTATTTATAGACAAGGATCTGTACAACATATGAAAGTCTTAATCGCTCCGAATCTATCAGAGTGTTGAAGCAAAGGACTGTAACGTAAACATGTGATATCTTATAAACTAAATTACAGTTTAACAAACAAATACAAATGAATACTATGCTCCGTTCATATTATTATATTTCCATGTTCATTTAACCGCGTCTGGGTCAAAACCGTAATTTTGCATATGTCATTAAAGGTTCACATCATAATAAACATGTCTGTTAAATTTCAAATTGATTTGACAACAACTTCATGGATAACTACCTTAAACCAAATAAAATAAAATAAAAATTGGATGGACCGACGGACGAACGGATGGAAGGATGAATGAATAGACATTATGTTTTCCTTAACTATCGTAGTCAGGGCATATCAACGAAGTGACATTTTTTAGAGAATAATTGCGAGTTATGAATAATAAAAATCGAAATTTTCATATCGTAAGGCTGTATATGCGTTGATTAAATGTTGAAGCTACACGCACAAAATGAAAAAGCTGTCTGGGAAAAGTCAGATATGCAATTCTCCATACAAGACAAAGTAACGGAAATTACATACATGTAAGCAATGAAGGATGTATGTCAATGAAAGGACTTTATTTATATTTGTTTCTTGTTTACGGCAATCACGAGTTTGTTTGTTGTGTGAATATTTTCAAACCGCTACTCCATATATCATGCCAATGATATCATATTATGTTTGAAATCATAATGATTTAATTATGATTATACATCTACTGAATATAAAGGTTGCTATCTCAATTTCACTAACTCCACCTACACTGCAAATGTTATACTAACCTATCGTTACAGTTACAAATGTTCATTAGTTTACTTCAGTTTTTATTTCACGCAAATGAATAGACTGGCGTCAAAATATTTCCTTAAAAGAAATACTTAAGTAAGGACAGTTTTTTTATACAAATTTCATATCCGTTTTGGCTACTTATAGTCCATTAATGTGCAGAATTTCAAAGCAATAAAAAATCAAATGTTTTAATTGAAAATCAATGTCTTTGTCATTATACCTCTTTGGTTTTCCATTAAAAATTCATTAAAGGCAAACAAGGGATACACATGCAATGTGGTACTTTTACAATTTGTCTTTGTTTTCTTTCGTCCAAACAATGACTTTAAAGTCTTTCGAGAGATATTTAAAGAATTAGAATATACATGTAAATTACCTTCTTTTTTTTTAAAGAAAAAGCTAATGAAACAAATCAGAAAATATGTTGCATCACGGGAACGTCACATATTTGGACATTCTGATTGACCCAAACACGAGTCATTAAAGTTGACGTTTAAATTGTACAATAAAACTTACAAGAATGGTCAAGAAAACAGGATGAATTTCTAAATAGACACATTGCTTTGACACTGGTCATTGTTTGAATAAATGACAGTATTTTGATGTCAAATATATCCATGATAATCCTGATTATAATAAAACACTCCCATGACGAAATTTTATAAATGAACTATGACTATCAAATGATACAATTTTATTGATTTCATATCAGAAGAGATATCAAAAATTAAAAAAAAACAAAGCTTGGGCGATTATTTAAGTCATTAAGATTCCTCATTAATTCTAGATTTAAAAAGAAAACCAACAATGTTATTATGAGTTTTGATATTGAAACTTCCTAGTAATAAATCTAAATCAAAGTACTGAAGTACTGAACATCGGATGACCACAAGTTCTTGAGGATGGTCAAAAGCACTTGTCTCAGAAAAAAACAACATATCTCTTTGCCTGAAACTGAGGTTAATGTACAGAGATATATTTTTTTCTGGAGACAAGTTCGTGCATGGATGATGAATAAATGACAGGAGATTCAACTTCACCGTAATAACTATTATATTGTAGTGATACAAATCAGTATACACTGATTTGTTGTTATATATTTTATTAAAATAACAGTTACATATATATATGATTTGCATCCATTTGTATATCATTCTATTCTACTATTCTAATAATAGTGCAATGCAAGTGCATGGTGGACACTTTTCTGTAAAAATTCGATTTTTCTAAGATTGGACACGAGTAGGCATTCATATTTTCCCGCAAAAACAATTACAGAGTTACCGGTCCTTGCCGGTATTGTCGCAAAACGTTCTTTGAGATATTCTTCCGCATGCTTTAACACAATTTTTCGGTACGTGTGCATTGATATTATCAATGATTTTTTACTTATATATATATATCTAACTACAAAACATTTTCATATTATTAATTTATGTTGTAAACAAAAATATTTGTATCAGTATTCATTGAAGAGATGTATTTATATCAAACGATAAGGAATGTTATTTTGCACTCGTTTATGTGCGCATAATTATCATGTTTATAGATCGGTTACAAACCCAAAACTAATTTACATAATGGAAATCTAGGCGATAGCAATACATCGGAATGACCTCAAGGTCATCGCGATGTAAAAATCATAAAATTTACAATTCTGCTTGAATATTCATATTTCATATCCATATGCATATATCTACTGTTTCGTGTTCTAGTACATGAAGAAACGTTAAATTCTAAATGAAAACTGAGAAACGAAAGCTGGTCAACTATACTTTTATTTTACTGCATATTGATATAAACTTGCCATATTAATCAAAGAGGACACATCCTGCAGTGTTTCAGTGCACTTATTTGAACATTCGTATGTATAGAAACACTATGTCTTGCAATGCGAATTTGGTTGACTACCTACTTAATAAGGAACCAATAAGTAGCGAATAAGTAACAGGGTATCAGTCCAGAAAGGAGACTGGTACAAACCTGCTAACAAGGTAAATTCGCATCTAAGAAATTATAACTTACAAAGGACAGAGGAAAAAAGAAATGAATAAAGGCATCAAATTGGCAAGTTCTTCAAACCCGATAGTCTAACATTTATAACATTAATAACAAGATTCTAATTATAGAATGATTTCGCGCTGAATCAGGTTAATGTGTGGTTGGCACACTTGCCTCTTTAAAAATATATCAAAATTATTATTAAATTTATTGAATACCAACTTGCTCAACTGCTGATCAATAATAAAATTT